TCTTGCCATCTTGTCTCTGTTATTGGTTTTGAAAACTTGGTTAATAGGCCTTTACAGTGTACTGCTAACCTTGATTGAAAAGCAACATATAGAGACCTATAATTTGTAGATAATGTTCTACACTGTTGTTCTGGAAGCTTGATTATACTGTGTAATGTTAGCCTTGTAGCCTTCTTGTCTCTTGTAATACATTTTAAACTCTACAAAAAGTGCCTTTGCTGACTTTGATTGATAATCATGACAATATAGCTTGTAAATAATATTTTCTCTGTTATTATTATTATTATTTTTTAATAGGTAATAGGCCTTTACTGTAAACCTTAGATAAGAATAACATATGGTAAATCATTTTCTCAATTTCTGTTCAGAAAGTGTGATTATACTGTGTCCTAATAGCCTGGTTAATATTCATTACATTTAACTTGCAAATAAATTAGATTTCGTTTTGATAAAAAAAAGTTTGGCTTTTGTGTTTCTTTTTTGTTGTTGTTGAGTGTGTATTGATTTTAGAACACTGGTTAGTACCACCAGGTCATTCAAATGTGTGTTGCTGGATATGTAGGACACAGTCCCCCACAAAAACTACATTTGGTATTTTCCACCACACTTTAGCTGAAACAGGTAGAAAAGTTCTCTCTACAGCACAATACGCTCAACATACCAGTGTCAACATTGTATTTTTTCATAAATTACTTATTGCATTTTCTTGTTGGCACAATAACAGTGGCCATTGATAAAAAATAATAATAATATCATTTGAATTAGTTATCCAAATTGCAATGTTTTGAAATGTAGGCTTTTATTTTTGAAAGTTTCCTCATTCAGGGCGGGATGTAAATGTAAAATGTAATTTGTCTAAAATAAATCACTGCACAAAAATAAATTACTGCATTTGACTCACACAGCCTCAGTCACTTACTCACCTCCTCCACTGTGTGTGTGCCTCTCTGTGACATAAGTTAAACATCTAGCTGGCTAGCTCATCATGTCTCAGTCTAAACTGTACACTCAAAAATACAGAAAGGAGTGGGAATCAAACCCTCAATTCAAAGGCTGGTTGAAGCCGTTTATTGGAGATGATACACGGGCATACTGCCTGTATTGTAAGGCTGATTTCTACGCCAAAGTTAGTGATGTAAAAAAACACATGACAACTCGAAAACATACTCAAAAGGCAAATCCTTATAACGGTTCCCCCCCAAAACAAGCTGCCATTTATGGTTAAAAAAATTGACTCTGCAAAAAAGGCTGAGGCCACCATGGCATTAGCTATCACTGAACACTGTTCCATGCTGGCATGTGATCACATTGGAGAAGCATGTAGAGCTGCTTTCTCAGACTCCACTGCTACTACCCACTTCAAAATGCACAGGACAAAGTGCACAGAAATGATTAATGGTGTTCTAGCACCATACTTTCTGAAAAGGTTGGTCGCAGATGTGGGTGACCAGCGTTTCAGCCTCCTCCTCGATGAGTCCACAGATGTAAGTGTTTCTAAGTACCTGGGAGTTGTGATAAGGTACTTTAGTGACACCAAGCAAACAATTGTATCAACATTTCTGGGGCTTGTTGAGTTGGAGGGAGGAGATGCCAAATCTGTGCTGTTGTGGCTTTCCTCGAGAAGTGTTGTCTTAAAAAATAGAAACTCCTGGGGATATGGACTGACAATGCCTCTGTTATGATGGCGATTAACAATGGGGTCCATAAAGTGCTGAAGGAGGAGTATGGCCTCAAAATCTGGTACTTATTCGCTGTGTGTGCCACTCTCTGCAGCTTGCTGTAAGTCATGCTTCCAATGACACCATCCCCCGTAGTGTGGAGTACTTGGTACGAGAGACTTATAACTGGTTTTCAGTGTTTCCAAAGCGCAGGGAGGCCTACAAGGCCATATATGAGACCATCAACTGTGGGGAGAAACCTTTACAGATAACCAAGGTGTGTGCCACACGTTGGCTCTCCATTGAACCCGCGGTTTCACACATTCTGGACCAGTGGGAGGAGCTTAGGCTGCATTTCGCAGTCACCAAGTCCAGTGAACACTGCACATGGCTGAGGTTTTATACAGTGATCCTCAAAACATATTGTATCTGACTTTTTTGAAGTCAGTGCTGGGTGAGGTACAGTTGGCCATCAAGGCTTTTGAGGGAGAGCAAGTAGATCCTCTTAAGCTACTTGACAGCTTGGTTAGCCTGATCAAGTATGTGAGCAGCAGGGTGCTGAATCCACTGGCAAATGTTGATGTACTCAAAGGGCCAATAGATGGATACATCAGTCCCAAACTGTACCTTGGTTACCTTTTTGAGTCAAAGGCAGCTGAGCTCCACCTTGCGCCTGAGGATGAAAACAATGTCTGAAAGCGGTGTGTAGCCTTCACCATCTCCCTCACTAATGAGTTGAGGGTGAGACTGCCGGACAACGTCGAAGCATTGCAGTACATGTCAGCTTTCAATGTGGAGGAAACTCTAAAGCACAATAAGAGCCCTGGAGAAATATAAAAAATAGCCAAGCTCCTTGGCTACTCCCCTGCAGAGATAGACAAGATTGTCCAGCAATGGCGTGCCATCCATCTAAGTAAATGGAATGAGACAAAAAACACACTGGGCTTCTGGAGTGAGATTTGGAAGTTCAGGGATGCAGCTGATATCAACCCGTTTCAAGAACTTGCCATGGCTGCTGTGTCTGTGTTGTCCTTGCCACACTCGAATGCTGAAGTCGAGAGAGTATTCAGCCAGATGAGTGTGGTAAAAAGCAAACTTAGAAATCGGATGTCCTTGCAGACCCTTAACTCCATTCTGTACATTCGATATGGACTGAAGCTGTCTGGTGAGGCTTGCTGTGAGCACCAGCTGCCTGATAATGTTTTGCAGCTTTTTGGCACATCAGCTGCTTACTCATTTAAGTCAGCTCCCTCAGTTGCTGAACTTGCCATAGAGAGCCTTGACCAAAATGACGACGACCCACTCTTTCTGTGAGCCAGCACAGCCTGTGTGTGTGTGGAGGGTGGTCTGAAAACCCCCCACAATTAACCTGAATTAGGGCCAGACTAGTTACCATCATTTTCTCACATTGCTATTGACAGTTTTCTCTACAAAATATACAAAATAAGTAACTCCGCCAGAGTGTCTCTTTTGGGTCACTTTTGCCGGTCCCAAGCCCGGATAAAGGAGGAGGGTTGGAATTGTGACATAAAAAAAAAAAAAAGAATCGACAGAAGAAAGTTCATTTGTAGTTCTAAACATATTTAGGGTGTTTTTTACTGACTTTTTGTCTCTCCCACAACGTTATTCCTCTCTCCTTTTTTAAATGTTTTAAATTTCACCTTTATTTAACCAGGTAGGCCAGTTGAGAACAAGTTCTCATTTACAACTGTGACCTGGCTAAGATAAAGCAAAGCAGTGCGATAAAAACAACAACAACACAGAGTTACACATGGGATAAAACAAAACATACAGTCAATAACACAATAGAAAATCTATATACAGTGTGTGCAAATGTAGTAAGTTATGGAGGTAAGGCAATAAATAGGCCATAGTGCAAAATAATTACAATTTAGTATTAACACTGGAGTGATAGATGTACAGAAGAAAATGTGTAAATAGAGATCCTGGGGTGCAAATGAGAAAAATTAATAACAATATGGGGATGAGGTAGTTGGGTGGGCTAATTACAGATGGGCTGTGTACAGGTGCAGTGATCGGTAAGCTGCTCTGACAACTGATGCTTAAAGTTAGTGAAGGAGATAAGAGTCTCCAGCTTCAGATATTTTTGCAGTTTGTTCCAGTCATTAGCAGCAGAGAACTGGAAGGAATGGCGGCCAAAGGAGGTGTTGGCTTTAGGGATGACCAGTGAGATATACCTGCTGGAGCGCATACTACGGATGGGTGTTGCTATGGTGACCAATGAGCTAAGATAAGGCGACGAATATGTAGTGAGGGCCAGCCAACGAGAACGTACAGGTCACAATGGTGGGTAGTATATGGGGCTTTGGTGACAAAACGGATGGCACTGTGATATACTACATCCAATTTGCTGAGTAGAGTGTTGGAGGCTATTTTGTAAATGACATCGCCGAAGTCAAGGATCGGTAGGATAGTCAGTTTTACAAGGGAATGTTTGGCAGCATGAGTGAAGGAGGCTTTGTTGCGAAATAGGAAGCAGATTCTAGATTTAACTTTGGATTGGAGATGTCTGGAAGGAGAGTTTACGGTCTAACCAGACACCTAGGTATTTGTAGTTGTCCACATATTCTAAGTCAGACCCGCCGAGAGTAGTGATTCTTGTCGGGCAGGCGGGTGCAAGCAGTGTTCGATTGAAGAGCATGCATTTAGTTTTACTAGTGCTTAGGAGCAGTTGGAGGCTATGGAAGGAGTGTTGTACGGCATTGAAGCTCGTTTGGAGGTCTGTTAGCACAGTGTCCAATGAAGGGCCAGATGTATACAAAATGGTGTCGTCTGCGTCGAGGTGGATCTGAGAGTCACCAGCCGCAAGAGCGACATCATTGATATACACAGAGAATAGAGTCGGCCCGAGAATTGAACCCTGTGGCACCCCCATAGAGACTGCCAGAGGTCCAGACAACAGACCCTCCGATTTGACACATTGAACTCTATCTGAGAAGTAGTTGGTGAACCAGGCGAGGCAGTCATTTGAGAACCCAAGGCTCCAACAGCGTCCATCACAATTACATGCACATGGCCGATTATGCAAATTAGGTGATGACGTCATTTAGGGACTTCTAGCGACTTTTAGGACAGCCAATAGCTACTTTCCTTACTGAGGAGTTGGCAACACTGGCTATAGGTAAAGTTATAGCTATGTTTTTGTGGAAGATGTTCAATGTAGTGTAGCCACTGGACCACTTGACCTACAAGCTTGAGAGTAGGCTAAATTAGTGTAAGTTAGTTTGCTAACTAGCTAACAGTTAGCTAGCATAGCTAGCTAGCTAGGAATCTAGCCTTGCTGGATAAAAACACAAACAGAGATAATGAAAATATTTTTCTATGATAGTAAGTTAGCTTGCTAAATAAGTGTCTGCAGTCTGGCATCCATATTCACCACCCTCAGATCACAGCCCAATACAAATGTATGCAAACACTTCAATGTAATATACTTTATGTTGATCTTCACCTCAAAGTAAATATAATCTCATTCTAGTTCTTCTGTAGTTGACCTGTCTCTCAGTTTGTGATTGACATTACTGGTCAGAGTTGGGCTCTACCACCACCAAGGAGGCGCAGGAGGAGGGACCCAGGTGGGCCTATAGAAGTTGTGGACTTGAGTGACAACAACCACTCAGATCACTCAGATCCAGGGCAGGTGAGTCCACTACCCCAAGGAGATAAAAAGTATAATGGAATCTCTAAACACGACGGAACACACACCAGAAGTCCAGGTTCTCTGCCCCGCTCCCCAACTGAACAAGATTTGAATGAAAACAAAGCCGTTTTAAAAGCAGAAGAAAGGGACATTCTTGAATCCAATCAGGGTTCTCTCAGGGATTCTTCTTCGACTAGACCATCAAATGACAAGAACGCTGTGAAAAGCTCAGACACAGACATTCCAATATGTCATGTAAAATCACCAAGTGTGCCTAAATCTGAACCGCCTGCAGAGGCAGGAGCCTCAGGGTCTTCCACTAACCAGATAACTGAGGAATCACAACAATACTCAGGTAAACCTTCTCAACTACTGTTTGAAGGGAAAGAAGAGCCAGAATGCCTAAAGTCTGAGACCTCGACCTCTATAACCATTCCAAATGAAGCTCAGACAAGCTGCATTGGAAAAGTAGAAAATTATGTATTGGAAGAGCAAGAAACAGAGTCTATCACAACGAACAAACCTCTTTTAATAGAGAAAAATAAACAACCAGGGTCTGCACAATCACTACTAGACGACACTCTCTCCCTCTCCCCCCAAAGCCTAGAAAGCCCCTATTATGTCCCAGGTGATATAGACCCGGTACCTTTCAGGTTCTCGGAGGATTGGGGTGCACATGAAACTCAGCACGACGACACCTGTTATTCCCCTACACACATACCCTTTGAGATGTCTCTCTCTCCAGCTCCACATGAGGATCTAACAAGATGGCGTAGCAGTGCGGTCGTGTATTCTGTAGTGTGCTCGTGTAAATAGCCAGTCTTTTTCGTATTTATTTCTCAATCTCACTTTTCATCCTTCAACTAAATATACTTTCCTGCAACCCGCCTCACCCAATGTGGATCGGATTCTATTATTTCTTATACCTTTTTATCTACAACCGGCTGAAACTAGCCAGCTAATTAGCTACTTGCTAGCTACTTGCTATTAGCCACCGTTAGCAGTTTTCACCATTGTCTGTGGCCTGCACTACCTACCAGCCAGCTCTAGCCTGGACAATTATCGGGCAGTCTGCACAGCGTGCTATCAACCCAGAACATATCGGATTTTCTGCCGGAATCACTGAATCACTGGACCTTTAACACCGGATCATCGCAACTAGCTAGCTGCAACCGAATGGATGTTGTTGTTGGCTAATCACCACTGTCCCGAAGCAAGCACCAGTTAGCCTTGAGCTAGCCTCAAGCCAGGCCCATCTCCCGGCTATCTACCTCTCTGTCAACCGGACGGGAGCTCCTAGTGTCGACACGGAGCCCCGCCGATCCATCACGACTGGTCTGCCGACGTAATCGCCTGATGTGGTTTCAACAGGCTTCCCGTTGCGACGACCACGAAGATCCATCTGCTAGCCCCGGCCCGCTAGCACACGCAATCAACAGCCGTGCCTCCTGCTCGCCTGTGCCGTAGCAGCCATCAAACTACTACTCCCGGACTCACCTATTGCTGTTCACTGGACCTTATGATCACTCAGCTACACAGCTGATGCCTGCTGGACTGTTCCTTTACACGGTACCCCATCCTGTTTATCTGTCCTGTTTATCTGTTTAGCCTCAGCCCATACTTTCGTCGCCATTACCAGTTGTTGTCTTAGCTCTCTCGAATAACACCTGTGATTGCTTTATGCCTCTCTCCCATGTCAATATGCCTTGCCTATTGCTGTTTGGGTTAGTTCTTATTATACAATTTTACTGTAGAGCCCCCAGTCCCGCTCAACCTGCCTCAGATAGCTCCTTTGTCCCACCCCCCACACACGCGGAGACCGGCTCAATCGGTGCCTCCAGTGATGCTATCTCTTTCATCGTTACCCAATGCTAAGGTTTACCTCCACTGTACTCATATCCTTCCATATCCTTGTCTGTACATAATGCCCTGAATCTATTCTACAACGCCCGGAAATCTGTACCCAATGCACTAGAAGACCAGTTCTTAAAGCCTTTAGCCGTATCCTTATTCTACTCCTCCTCTGTTCCTCTGGTGATGTAGAGGTTAACCCAGGCCCTGTAGCCCCCAGTATCACTCCTACTCCACAGGCGCTATCATTTGTTGACTTCTGTAACCGTAAAAGCCTTGGTTTCTTGCATGTTAACATCAGAAGCCTCCTCCCTAAGTTTGAGTTATTCACTGCGTTAGCACACTCCGCCAACCCTGATGTTCTAGCAGTGTCTGAATCCTGGCTTAGGAAGGCCACCAAAAACTCTGACATTTTGTCACGAGAATTTCTATCTCTAATTAATCAAACTTAATGCTCTGAATAATTCCCAGAGGGTGTAAGGCTCTGGTTTAATCATGAATTAAACAAAGGTCCACAACCGGCAAGAATGATCTGTATGTTTAATCATGGAGAGCTCTGCCGCCAAAAAACACATATACAGCTTTTATACCCCTTGACACACAAAGGCACTTTGCTCCGTCCACCTTTAGGAGGCCTTTAACCAGTTTCTCAGTCCCCTTCACCCTGGAATGTTTGTCTCAGCAGTTTCTAACTCACCTCCTCTGTTAGTGGGTTTATAATGATAACCCTAACACAGTTCACACAGTCATCATCAGTATTGGGGTTAACAATTTTAGTCATAATCATAATTCCTCTATCACATTTCCATCCCCAACTGCCAAAGGGGACGGAGTTGCAATCTACTGTAGAGATAGCCTGCAGAGCTCTATCATACTATCCAGGTCTGTGCCCAAACAGTTTGAGCTTCTACTTCTAAAAATCCACCTTTCCAGAAATAAGTCTCTACTCTTGCCGCTTGCTACAGACCCCACTCAGCCCCCAGCTGTGCCCTGGACACCATATGTGAATTGATTGCCCCCCCATCTATCCTCAGAGTTTGTACTGCTTGGTGACCTAAACTGGGATATGCTTAACACCCCGGCCGTCCTACGATCTAAACTAGATGCCCTCAATCTCACACAAATGATCAAGGAACCTACCAGGTACAACCCTAAATTCGTAAACATGGGCACCCTCATAGATATCATCCTGACTAATTTACCCTCTAAATACACCTCCGCTGTCTTCAAACAGGATCTCAGCGATCACTGCCTCATTGCCTGCGTCCATAATGGGTCGCGGTCAAACGACCACCCCTTATCACTGTCAAACGCTCCCTAAAACACTTCAGCGAGTAGGCCTTTCTAATTGACCTGGCCCGGGTATCCTGGATGGATATTGACCTCATTCCGTCAGTAGAGGATGCCTGGTTGTTCTTTAAAAGTGCTTTCCTCTCCATCTTAAATAAGCATGCCCCATTCAAAAAATTCTGAACTAAGAACAGATATAGCCCCTGGTTCACCCCAGACTTGACTGCCCTTGACCAGCACAAAAATATCCTGTGGCATACTGCATTAGCATCGAACAGCCCCCGCGATATGCAACTTTTCAGGGAAGTCAGGAACAAATATACACAATCAGTCAGGAAAGCAAAGGCTAACTTTTTCAAACAGAAATTTGCATCCTGTCGCACTGACTCCAAAAAGTGTTGGGACACTGTAAAGTCCATGGAGAATAAGAGCACCTCCTCCCAGCTGCCCACTGCACTGAGGCTAGGAAACACTGTCACCGCCAATAAATCTACGATAATCGAGAATTTCAAGAAGCATTTTGATACGGCTGGCCATGCTTTCCACCTGGCTACCCCTACGCCGGCCACCAGCTCTGCACCCTCCGCTGCAACTTGCCCATGCCCACCCCGCTTCTCCTTCACCCAAATTCAGATAGCTGATGTTCTGAAAGAGCTGCAAAATCTGGACCCCTAAAAATCAGCTGGGCTAGACAATCTTGACCCTTTCTTTCTAAAATTAGCAGCCGAAATTGTAGCAACCCCTGTTACTAGCCTGTTCAACCTCTCTTTCGTATCATCTGAGATCCCCAGAGATTGGAAAGCTGCCACGGTCATCCCCCTCTTCAAAGGGGGTGACACTCTAGATCCAAACTGTTACAGACATATATCCATCCTGCCCTGCCTTTCAAAAGTAGTTGAAAGCCAAGTTAACAAACAGATCACCGACCATTTTGAATCCCACCGTAACTTCTCCGCTATGCAATCCGGTTTCCGAGCTGGTCATGGGTGCACCTCAGCCACGCTCAAGGTCCTAAACGATATTATTACCGCAATCGATATTATTATAAAAGACAGTACTGTGCAGCCGTCTTCATCGATCTGGCCAAGCCTTTCGACTCCGTCAATCACCGCATTCTTATTGGCAGACTAAGTAGCCTTGGTTTCTCAAATGACTGCCTCGCCTGGTTCACCAACTACTTCTCAGATAGAGTTCAATGTGTCAAATCGGAGGGCCTGTTGTCTGGACCTCTGGCAGTCTCTATGGGGGTGCCACAGGGTTCAATTCTCGGGCCGACTCTATTCTCTGTGTATATCAATGATGTCGCTCTTGCTGCTGGTGACTCTCAGATCCACCTCTACGCAGACGACACCATTTTGTATACATCTGGCCCTTCATTGGACACTGTGTTAACAAACCTCCAAACGAGCTTCAATGCCATACAACACTCCTTCCGTAGCCTCCAACTGCTCTTAAACGCTAGGAAAACTAAATGCATGCTCTTCAATCGAACGCTGCTTGCACTCGCCCGCCCGACTAGAATCACTACTCTCGGCGGGTCTGACTTAGAATATGTGGACAACTACAAATACCTAGGTGTCTGGTTAGACCGTAAACTCTCCTTCCAGACTCACATTAAGCATCTCCAATCCAAAGTTAAATCTAGAATCGGCTTCCTATTTCGCAACAAAGCCACCTTCACTCATGCTGCCAAACATGCCCTCGTAAAACTGACTATCCTACCAAGCCTTGACTTCGGCGATGTCATTTACAAAATAGCCTCCAACACTCTACTCAGCAAATTGGATGTAGTATATCACAGTGCCATCCGAAGCCCCATATACTACCCACCATTGTGACCTGTACGCTCTCGTTGGCTGGTCCTCACTACATATTCGTCGCCAAACCCACTGGCTCCAGGTCATCTATAAATCTCTGCTAGGCAAATCCCTGCCTTATCTTAGCTCATTGGTCACCATAGCAACACCCATCCGTAGTATGCGCTCCAGCAGGTATATATCACTGGTCATCCCCAAAGCCAACACCTCCTTTGGCCGCCATTCCTTCCAGTTCTCTGCTGCTAATGACTGGAACAAACTGCAAAAATATCTGAAGCTGGAGACTCTTATCTCCTTCACTAACTTTAAGCATCAGTTGTCAGAGCAGCTTACCGATCACTGCACCTGTACACAGCCCATCTGTAATTAGCCCACCCAACTACCTCATCCCCATATTGTTATTTATTTTGCTCATTTGCACCCCAGTATCTCTATTTGCACATCATCTTCTGCACATCTATCACTCCAGTGTTAATACTAAATTGTAATTATTTTGCACTATGGCCTATTTATTGCCTTACCTCCATAACTTACTACATTTGCACACACTGTATATAGATTTTCTATTGTGTTATTGACTATTTGTTTTGTTTTATCCCATGTGTAACTCTGTGTTGTTGTTGTTTTTATTGCACTACTTTGCTTTATCTTGGCCAGGTCGCAGTTGTAAATGAGAACTTGTTCTCAACTGACCTACCTGGTTAAATAAAAATAAAATAAATAACACCATGTCTCAACCAGAGTCACCCAGTGAACTACCCCACCTCCCCCACCAGTACACACAGTCTCAAACAGGATCCAGTCTACCCCCATACCTCCCCTAACAGTGGGACCGAATTAGGGCTGTTGGAGGCCTCAGAAATCACCCAATCCAGTTCCTGCTCTCCCCCCATAGAGCCAAACCAGCTTGCTTCCCAACAGGCTCCCCAGGATTCCCCGCTCCCTCCCCAGCTAACCACCAGCTTCACAACCCCTAACGCTTGCATGGGAGGAACTCATAGCGATAATAAGAGCCAGCCCAGTCAGACCTCCAACCCTACGTCCACAGTCATCCAAGCTGGGGAGTCCCCAGACTGGCCTGTGGATGAGACTGAGGCGGACCTGGCTATGGATAGCCCCCCAACCGGTTACATGTGTAGCAGTATCCCAAGTGACCCTCCCATGTTGCTACGGTCTGAGGAGATGGATGTGGAGGCAGAGTCCAGATCTCCTGGAGATTTTCAGGATGGTTTGGGGGCTGAGAGCCTGATGACTACTGCATGGAGTGATGGCAGTGATGAAGAGGATATGGGTGGAGAGAGGGAAGGTGATGAGGATCACACTGAGCCAGACGTCAGCAGAGATGACAGGCGCTCAGGAAACTGAGGCAGCAGATGGCTGGACCTGTTCAAGACCTGGTAATTAGGAGATAAATGTTTCCATCCTCTCTGTTGTTTCTCTCTGTCCCAGGATGAAGATGTCCAGGTTAGGACAATGTAATAATTCCATGCGTAATCTTTTCATGCGGGAAGCTTTCGAAAATAAACTGTAAGTCGCTTTGGATAAAAGCGTCTGCTAAATGGCATATTATTATTATTATTATTATAAATTCATGGGAGCAGCGCCGTTGCTAAAGATTCTACAGGATTAGCATTGTAAACGTGACCAGTAGTCAGGAAATCAAGTAATAAATAATAATAAGAAATCCCATACAAATCTGTCAGTTTCAGCTAGAGATGTCTGCATTCGTTGATGTCGCACCTCTATGGTGAAAGGTGACAGAGCTAGAGCGGTGTTTGTCAGACCATGAGACATCCGTCTTCTCACAAAATCATCTGTAGCATCCGAACGGTTTGGCCTACAAACTATTATGACCCCTCTGTGGAAAGAGACACGTACATGTCGGTTGTTTTTCTCTAGGACGCCCACAGGCCTCACAACACTCGTCTGAAAGTCCCCTGGTACCAGTTGAAAAAATGAATGGAAGTACAGTACCAGTCAAAAGTTTGGACACCCCTACTCAATCACCTGACCTCAACCCAATTGAGATGGTTTGGGATGAGTTGGACCGCAGAGTGAAGGAAAAGCAGCCAACAAGTATTCAGCAAATGTTCCTTCAAGACTGTTGGAAAAGCATTCCAGGTGAAGCTGGTTGAGAGAATGCCAAGAGTGCGCAAAGCTGTCATCAAGGCAAAGGGTGGCTACTTTGAAGAATCTCAAATTTAAAATATATTTTGATTAGTTTAACACTTTTTTGGTTAGTACATGATTCCATATGTGTTATTTCATAGTTTTGATGTCTTCACTATTATTTTACAATGTGGACAATAGTAAAAATAAAGAAAAACCCTTGAATGAGTAGGTGTGTCCAAACCTTTGACTGGTACTGTATATATGGAGACAGTTTAGTGCCAAAAATAAGGGGTTAAATTCATGTAAAAAAATATATATATATATCCTGCTTTCTCTCAGATATAGGACAGACACTTCAGAACAAACTTTATTTTGATTTGTTTTTGTGGACTATCTGTACCATGAAGTGAATATGTTATTCAATGTGTTTGTATGGGCTAATAGCAGTTCAAGTTTTCATCAAATAATATTTTATATATTTTTTTGATACTTCAAGGGGTCTTAAAATTCTAAAACAAATAGCTAAATGATCCTAGGTATAAACAATTCCATATAGCTTAGTAGAACCCCCCCCCCCCCCCCCCCCCCCCCCCCCCCCCCCCCCCCCCCTTACCTGGGTAACTTCAACCTAGCTTCTGACACATGCTTACATACACAGATCACATTCCTATCCTCCATTGACCATACCTCTCTCTCTCTCTCTCTCTCTCCAGGACGATGAGGAAGAGGAGGACGATGGCTTCGGCGACCTGGAGCCTATGTGCAGACAGAGCCTGAGCCTGGTGTACAGCACCATGAAGGAGAACTACCCAGAGGGTACCCTGCAGCTGCTGTCTGACCTGCTGCAGCCCCGCTTCATCCCCCCAGTCACCATTACCACCCACCTTCTCAGAGGCATCCTGCTGGACCCCCAGTGTCCTGACTTCCTCTGTCTGGAGGCCTACACTCTCCTCATGAAGACCCAAAGGCACAATCACACTGATCAGACCACTATCCCATGGGACTGGGAGCTGTTGACATCAGTCATGGCTGCTGAGCAGGTAAGGACAGTGACAGCCCTCTCTCAGCACCTTATACACATAATTGTTATTAGAGCAGTAAGAAAACCAATGTTTCCACAAGCATCAGGGTTACAAATGCATTATGCCTTTCACTAGGATACTTGACCTGATACTTGACCTGACCACATGCCCTTCCCCCGCATTCTCCTCTTCCCTAGAGTCGAGGTAAGAGGCTCCACTGTGAGGTTGTGAGGATGCTGCTACAGTACGTTGTCCAGACCATGGCGGATGACTTCCGGGTTAAACTCTCCTTCAGTGACCTCCACCATTCCATCACCAAGGCCACCCTGTCATGTGACTTGCGGTTCACCCAGGTCAGGTGAGCATTGTGTCCATGATTAAAAATATACATATATATATATTTTGTTATTTGTCTCATTTACTTCCTGAGAAAAGAGTTGGACATGTATTTTGTTTAGGGTTGTATGACAGTAAATTAGGATTTTATTGTTTTGAACATCTTTTCGCTCCCCTCCACCAGAGATGTTATCAACTGGCTCTTTGCTGCTATCGTGAAATCAACAGGGAACAAAGTCTGCAGACACCATCGAGGTGAAAACACAGAAGGAAAGAGATGAAAATCTCAAGTGAGTTGCACAATACATCTTCATAATATATTCCACAACCCTTGACTCATTGTTTTGAGAATCAAAACATAGCACCCTACCTGGAATTTCAGATCACAGTTCAAAGGATTCAGAATAGAAACAGAGTAATAGCAGTGTGTGTGTCCTGTGCCTTGTTGTGTGTGCAGAATGGTGTTCCTCCGCCAGAAGATGCTGTCCTTGGCCTTGGTGGTGGACCGCTCCCCGGCCCTCAACTCCAGCAAACTCTCCGGGGAACTCTTCCACATACTCATCAGCACCGTCCTTCTAAGGCAACACAGGTCAGAGTAGAGGGAGAGAGGGATGGTTGGGAGAGGGTGGATGGAGAGAGGGTTGGCGAAAGGGGGGAGGGTGGGATGAAGAGGTAGGAATGGAAGTGAGAAAGGGAGCAAAGGGGGAGGATAGTTTGGAGGATGGAGGGGATTGGCACAGATGAAGAGAATGTTGAAATGGATGGAAGCGTTGGGGGGAGTATGCTTGCTCTGTAGAGACAGACTCTCTTCTCTTGCCCATGCTGCTGTTGCTGGAGACCCTGCAGAGAAGACTACTGAGGTGTAAGCTGATGGAGCACCTGTTGCACCACGCAAGTCCACAGAAGACCCCTCTGCCCATGTCTGAGTCTGCTGCTACACTTCCTGCACAACGCCACACTCACACCTGACCCTACGGTGAGTACTACCGGCAGAGAAGATTTAGAACTGAGAGGACTGACACCGGGGTTTACCGGGTTGGATTCAGAATAGTCATATTCATTTCTAGCCTTAGTCATGAAGGCATGAAGCATGGGTTCAGTCTGTCTCTCTTGTTCTTCAGGATGGAGCTGAGACATGTAAGAAGTGGGAGGAGTTGGTCCAACTACTGTAGATGCTGCTGCTCAGCTACGAGGAAGTGATGAAAGGTGGGTCAATAGTAAATATTATATACATAAATGCAAGTTGGCAAAAGAAAAGCCAATATTCAGATTTTTTAAAATTGAACTTGAATTTTATTTGAAAATGCTGCGTAATCTGAAACTCTGTAAAGCCAAACAAAACCTAATTGCCTGTGAAGCCTTGTGTATGTTTAATTGTGTATACCCTTGTGTATAAAGTTTGTGTTAGTTGGTAGATTTTGTTGTAAGATGTTTGTATATTGTGTTGTTGTTCTTAAAAATAAAAGGTGGGTCGCCGACTGTGAAGGATTCACCCATCAAAACAAAAGCCTTTCAACAGTTTATTGTACATAATTTACATAGTCACAATCACTTCTTAGGGTTTATTATTGTATTTATTTTGAATTGTCCTAACCCATCTGCACTTTGACCCTTGTAACCTGCAGATCACCTGTGCTCTGCAGTCACTGAGCGAGGGGACTTCAATCCCGCTCCAATCCAGACAGTGAATGACTCTGTGTTGCGGTTGGCGGTCCAAGAGGCTATGGAGTCCCTACTGTCCCGAGCCCAGGCTGACCTGGGCCAAGCACTGCCTCCACATGTCCACGAGTCCCTCACCTACCTGCAGGATCACCTGCTGGCCTCCTGTCATTGACATTAAGCGCACCGCTTGGGTTCAAGCGGTCGTTGATTGATTCTATTTATTTGTGTGATGATTAATACATTTTTGTAAGAATTATTTTCACAAGGAATTGTTTTAAAAGTAAATATTTATTGTTTTTTAAGTCATTGTGTCTGTTTTCTCTATGTTGGTATTTTATTGGTATGGCCTATGTAGACAATCTGAGCATTTAAAGCTCCCTTTTACATCATATGAAGTGTTGCCTCAATGAGGGAGTTCTATTAAGCTTCCCCAGGTTGAACCGGGCTATGGCCTATCACGTGATCGAGCGAAGCCGGTAAGGGGAAGCGCCCTGCTCAAATCAAATGGTCATCTGTGGCGCTCGGTCATATTGCCAACAATGCAGCAAGGTGCATCGTTCAGAAACATACAGGGCCTTCATAAATTATTCACAACCCTGGACTTTTTCCACATTGTTGTGTTACAGCCTGAATTTAAAATGGATACAATTTAGATTTTATTATCACTAGCCCACACACAATACCCCATAATGTCAAAGTGGAATTATTTTTTTAGACTTTTTAAATTAATAAAAGCTGAAAGGGTTTGCGTCAATAACTATTCAACCCCTTTGTTATGGCAAGCCTAAATAAGTTAAGGAGTAAACATGTGCTTAAGTTGTATGGACTCACTGTGTGCAATAATAGTGTTTAACTTGATTTATAAAATGACTACCAGATCTCTGTACCCCACACATACACTTATCTGTAAGGTCTCAGTTGAGCAATGAATTTCAAACACAGATTCAACCACACAGACCAGGGAGGTTTCCAATGCCTTGCAAAGAAGGGCACCTATTGGTATATGGGTAAAAAATATATTACATTGAATATCCCTGAGCATGGTGAAGTTATTAATTACACTTTGCAAGAGTAAAAGGGTTGGTTATGTTTCCACTTGACACAGCAGAAACATGTATTCGATGTTTATGTATTCCAATTGGGTTGGTTTAATTTACATATCTATAAGGTGTTATGCCATTGGTCATGCTTTCAGATAGGGGGATATCGCGAACGTACACTGTAAATTCTTCACAGTCTGGTATTGGCATGCAAGCGATGAATCACGAATCTACAGCCATCAACATACTGTTCTCCTGCACATCTAATGTGCTTAATTGTGTATCTTCAGAATAAACAATCAACTGGGATCGCTGGCTGGATGGACAGTCCTTTATTTAAAAACAACGCAAGAGAGTTACGAAGTACAGTTTAAGTCGGAAGTTTACATACACCTTAGCCAAATACAATTAAACTACGTTTTTCACAATTCCTGACATTTAATCCTAGTAAGAATTCCCTGTCTTAGGTCAGTTTATTTTAAGAATGTGAAATGTCAGAATAACAGTAGAGAGAATGATTTATTTCAGCTTTTATTTCTTTCATCACATTCCCAGTGGGTCAGAAGTTTACATACACTCCATTAGTATTTGGTAGCATTGCCTTTAAATTGTTTAACTTGGGTCAAACGTTTCGGGTAGCCTTCCACAAGCTTCCCACAATAAGTTGGGTGAATTTTGGCCCATTCCTCCTGACAGAGCTGGTGTAACTGAGTCAGGTTTGTAGGCCTCCTTGCTCGCACATGCTTTTTCAGTTCTGCCCACACATTTTCTATAGGATTGAGGTCAGGGCTTTGTGATGGCCACTCCAATACCTTAACTTTGTTGTCCTTAAGCCATTTTGCCACAACTTTGGAAGTATGCTTGGGGTCATTGTCCATTTGGAAGACCCATTTGCGACCAAGCTTTAACTTCCTGACTGATGTCTTGAGATGTTGCTTCAATATATCCACATAATTTTCCTTCCTCATGATGCCATCTATTTTGTGAAGTGCACCAGTCCCTCCTGCAGCAAAGCACCCCCACAGCATAATGCTGCCACCCCCGTGCTTCACGGTTCAAAACGATGGTCATTATGGCCAAACAGTTCTATTTTTGTTTCATCAGACCAGAGGATATTTCTCCAAAAAGTAAGATCTTGGTCCCCATGTGCAGTTGCAAACCGTAGTCTGACTTCTTTTATGACGGTTTTGGAGCAGTGGCTTCTTCCTTGCTGAGCTGCCTTTCAGGTCATGTCGATATAGGACTCGTTTTACTGTGGATATAGATACTTTTGTACCCGTTTCCTCCAGCATCTTCACAAGGTCCTTTGCTGTTGTTCTGGGATTGATTTGCACTTTTCGCACACAAAGTACGTTCATCTCTAGGAGACAGAACGCGTCTCCTTCCTGAGCGGTATGACGGCTGCGTGGTCCCATGGTGTTTATACTTGCGTACTACTGTTTGTACAGATGAACATGGTACCTTCAGGCGTTTGGAAATTGCTCCCAAGGATGAACCAGACTTGTGGAGGTCTACAATTATTTTTCTGAGGTCTTGACTGATTTCTTTTGATTTTCCCATGATGTCAAGCAAAGAGGCACTGAGTTTGAAGGTAGCCCTTGAAATATATCCACAGGTACACCTCCAATTGACTCAAATGATGTCAATTAGCCTATCAGAAGCTTCTAAAGCCATGACATAATTTTCTGGAATTTTCCAAGCTGTTTAAAGGCACAGTCAACTTAGTGTATGTAAACTTATGACCCACTGGAATTGTGAGACAGTGAATTATAAGTGAAATAATCTGTCTGTAAACAATTGTTGGAAAAATTACTTGTGTCATGCACAAAGTAGATGTCCTAACCGACTTGCCAAAATGATAGTTTGTTAACAATACATGTGTGGAGTGGTTGAAAAACGAGTTTTAATGACTCCAACCTAAGTGTATGTAAACTTCCGACTTCAACTGTACAATCACAGCTGTTACACTGGTGACCTGTCTTCTTGTTTTCGCTGGACATCTGTTACTCCCCCATATGTTACACTGGTGCCGAGACCGGTCTTCTTGTCTGACCTGGACATTGGGTCGAGGGATCCGCGAGTCGGCATCAAGAAGTATCGTGGTAACTGATGCACACCTTAGGCCTAGTGTGTGCATATGAACTTGTATCGACTTTTCTGCACGTGTTGAATTCTCTTGTAGTCATACACAAGCTCCTGGTGGTATAAATGAGTGGGGAAATACATGTTATTATTTGTCTCTGCCAAAATTATATACACATATTGAGCAATTTATTTTAGCTCTCATCACAGAACAATGAGACAGATATTTCATTGGCTGTTCGTAACAGATTCTAGTTTTGGGAACAGAACTGTATTGAGATCAAATGTTTAATCGATGAGGAAATTAGCAGAATGTAGGCCAAAATCCATCTCTTTCCATCTTCCTCCACTGCTGGCCAGTGGGCTTCCATATTTGGTAGTGAGTGGAAACGCCAAGCGGATGCTTCACATTTATACATCCGGTGAAATATCTGTCTCATTGTTCTATCTGTGATATTACTTTAAAAGGGTATGTTGGTCTGTTATTGAATAATTATTTTCGAAAAAATAATTATGTGTACTGTAGGGATGTGATGAATACATAAGGAACTGGGTGGTCACATTGGGTGGCGATGCAGTGGACGCAATAGTTCGAGTGATCTCGTGAGCGGGGAAGCAATAGTCCGCCACAGTGGATACCATAAAGTATTTATTCGGAGTGGTGCATGCATTCACACAGTCTTGATTTATAGGATCCTTCCCACTATATGATTGATATGTCAAGTGATAAAATCCCAAGTTATCAATTAAACGTTTCTTGTCGTCATGTGAAAATTGCAGTTTTTTAAATATTTTACAGCATTAATGTCATCAATCAAATCAAACTTTATTTATATAGCACATTTCTTAAAACAAATGCATTTCAAGGTGTTCAAAGTCATGCATTGAAAGGCATGTGGCACATAACAGCCTTCATCTTGGCAGGTCTCTATATGTGACCATGGGATTCTCTACCACATGCGAATGCCACGTGGAGCTCATAAGTGTAGCCATGCAGCCTATTTTGGCGGTTCACAATATTGGCTGTACGGATGTGGAATGCGAGTGGAGGAAGCCAGCTGAGCCCAACCAGGTGCATTCAGTGGAGGACCTGTACCCGGCCGAAGACTACAACCCTTTGTCCCGAGAGCCCACATAGGAGGATCTTCAGTGGCTAAGGAACCGTCTCCGAGGCAGGTTCAGTGGAATGGCATGTCTCCTTGAACCTGAGCCAGAACAACCGCTACCCTCCCTGTCATCCCTGTCTGTACCGGACATTGTTAAAAAAACATGGGCACCTGGGGCATGCAGGCAGCCTGGCTGGCATGGCGCTGTCCGTGGAGCAGCAGGAGGCTATACGGCAGGCACACCATGAGGAGAGGGAGGTTGACGGCCAGCAATTATGGAGCAATGGTTAGGGCCTACGTCGCTGCTAAAAAGGGTCCTCAGATCACAGTCGTTGGATGGGGTGTTGTCTGTAAAGTGGGGCACAGATAACAAAGAGGAGGGCATCAAGGCATTCAAAATGGCTACATGGATTGATGTGCAGGAGTCTGGGCTTTGGGTCATGGGGTCTGGGATCCTGGGTGCCTCACCGGATGGTCTGGTGGCTACCACAGCAGTGGTGGAGGTCAAGTGTTCCTATGGTGCAAGGGACCTTACCACTGAAAAGGCAGTGAAGTCGAAGGATTCCTATATCAAGGAAGGAGGGTCTTACTGCCTCCGTGAAGACTATCCTTACTGGCACCAGGTCCAAGGTCAGCTCCACATCACTGGAAGAGACACCTGCTTCTTTGTTGTGTGGACCAGCAAAGCCTCCCATCACCATCACCATCCCCATCCAGCGTGATGACCTCTGACAGACTCATATTGCTCTTCCTGTCAGTACCTGTTTTCAGGGAAGCCAATGGTCCCAAAATATTCCACATACAGTAGTTCATACACAAACAATAGGCTTCTAGAATAGGATATATTACATTCAAGTTTTGCTGAAAGCAGCCAACTAAAGTAATGTAGTTAATGTAAGTTCAATCACAAAGGCTGGTCTGAGTGCATCTCCTTACAGTTTCAT